TGAGAAGCAGCAAGCATACTACGAAATACCAGTGATAATTAATGATATATAAGCACCAACACTAAGAACTCTGGCTAGCAAATCAAGAGGTTTTTCAAGGATACTTTTAATTCTCATATTATTAGCTTACTTTATCAAAATACTAACTGGTTTGAAAAGATAATTTCTGCTTACCAGTTTGTTACAGATGAGAAGCAAGGTTGTTGGCTTCTGCACTACGCTTCTACAGCACAAACTTACACTTGAACTGCAACCTGCGGCACAATTACTGGGATAATATTCAATGTTAATCTAAGGGGCCATTTGTTTTAGATTTTTTTTGTTTAGTGTAAACTTCACAATATCCCATCTCTAGGTGTGAACAGATGTATTTATATTTTGCTTAAGGAAGAAATAAGTGTGAAATTTTAAATATGTTCCTTGAGTAAGGGTAAATAATCACTAATTTTTCACTTATAATATTTAACATTTTCCAAATATTGAAGTAAACATCAATTTTAATCTAAAGGGCCATTTCTTATATAATGTTTAATATAAATTTAAGAATATCCCATTTCTAGGTACAAAAGACATTTATTTATATTTTGCTTAAGGAAGGTATAACCATGGAATTTAAAATGTGATCACTTTTCAAGTAAGTATAGTCACTAATTAACTACTAAAAATAAATAACATTTTCCAAATATTGAACATAAATATCTTGGGACTTTTTCTCTTGATGAGAGAGTGACAACATGGGGAGACTTTATTTTTAGCACTCATCACCATCTGACATATTACATATTTGTTTGTTAATTGGCCTTTTCCCACCACAAAAATGTGGGCTACATAACAGCAGGGATTGTGCCCGTCTTGTTCACTGCTTTAACTTCAATCTTGTGTTATAGGCATTCCAAGCATATATTCTAAATGAATAAATAAATGACTGTGATGATGAAAGCTCTTCAGCATTTGTGTATTTCTTTTATCTTTTTTTTTTTTTTTTTTAGCACTTGTGTATTTCTAAGATGACAGTTATTCTGATTGTTCTAAAGAAGAGGCAGGAGTCAGCTTACATGGAATATTTGGAAAAGTAAAACAAAGATGTCTTTTTTTCTTTTTTTTTGGCTCCACTGGGTCTTCGTTGCTGTGCACGGGCTTTCTTTAGCTACAGCGAGTGGGGGATACTCTTCATTGCGGTGCGTGGGCTTTTCATTGCAGTGGCTTCTCTTGTTGCAGAGCATGGGCTCTAGGTGTGTGGGCTTCAGTAGTTGTGGCACGCAGGCCCTAGAGCGTGCAGGTTTCAGTAGTTGCGGTGTGTGGGCTCAGTAGTTGTGGTGCACTGGCTCTAAGGCACATGGGCTTCAGTAGTTGTGGTGCATAGGCTCAGTAGTTGTGGCTCGCAGGCTCTAGAGCAGAGGCTCAGTAGTTGTGGCACACGGGCTTAGATGCTCTGCGGCATGTGGGATCTTCCTGGACCAGGGATCAAACCCGTGTCCCTTGCACTGGCAGGCGGATTCTTAACCACTGCGCCACCAGGGAAGTCCCCCAAAGATGTCTTTTAAAGTTGCACTGAGTTAGCAATGAATATAAGGGAAATCTCAGACTTTCAGAAGCCCATTTATAAATGGATGTGTACCAATAAGTGGGGACAATTGAAAACGTATTTGGGGGAAAGATGCTGTTTCTGGCTGTAAGCTGGACAGGATTTCTATGAGGAAATTAGAACCTTATGACATTGAAGATGGCTCCCTGTTCCTCATTACTAATTAACCATGCCAAGAGATTTCTTTAAATACTGGAGACAGGCATTCTGCACTCTATACTTCTCCTTAAAATCCTCAAAAATAAGGAGAATAAGAAACAGAAATGCAAACCCCATTGACTAGGAATATCTATCTCTAATCTTAGATTATAATATATAAAGATGGACAGTGGATGTAGGATTAAATAACCTAACAGACAGAAGAAGGTGAAACAAATGCCTGCTGGGGTTAACAACAGGAATGAGCCAAATCATCTGTCAAACCTCAGAAAAGCATAGGAGTTAGAAGCACCAGGTACTATGGAAGATGGGGGTGAGGAAGGAAGTTGCAGACACAGAAATTACTTGAAGTTTATATAAAGAGCAGTTAGATTCCCAGATATCCATCCCTATCCTGCCCAGCCAGGTGACTACCTTTCCCAAAACCCACAGGAAAGTGAAATTAAGATCACCAGAGAAACTAAACCAGAGAATCTAGGCTTAGGAACACCGGACACAGAGTAGGTGAGGATGAGGTGCAGGACTGAAAACAAGGGGCTTAGGTAAAAGGCTGCAGCCTAAATGATGAAACTCAGCCACCTTCCCCTACTAGCTCCAGAATGTTGGCGACCAGGTTATACACCCTCCAGGAAAATGGTGGATTCTTTGCTAGAACAGTGCAAGGAAAAAACTTATAGACACTGACTTTTGGGTTTTCCCATAAAGGCTGGTGGGTCATCTTAATGCTCTATAGTTAAGCTCTCCATATATACAAGCTTCCATCAGTTTTTCGGTGCCTAACTATTAAGGAAGAGATAAGAGAACATACTGCATCTATAAAACAAAAACAGTATGCTATAAAAAAGAGGGGTACAGGGACTTCCCTGGTGGCCCAGTGGTTAAGACTCTGTGCTTCCAATGCAGGGGGCTTGGGTTCAATCCCTGGTCAGGGAACTAAGATCCCACATGCCACACAGTGCTGCCAAAAACTAAAATAAAATTAAAAAAAAATCTTAGCTTCCCTGGTGGCACAGTGGTTAAGAATCCACCTGCCAATGCAGGGGACACGGGTTCAATCCCTGGTCTGGGAAGATCCCACATGCCACGGAGCAGCTAAGCCCGTGTGCCACAACTACTGAGCCTGTGCTCCAGAGCCCGTGAGCCACAAACACTGAGTCTGCACGCCACAACTACTGAAACCCATGCACCTACAGCTCGTGTTCCGCAATGAGGAGCCCGTGCACCGCAACGAAGAGTAGCCCCTGCTTGCTGAAACTAGAGGAAGCCTGCATGCAGCAATGAAGACCCAATGCAGCCAAAAAAAAAAAAAAAAAGAAAACAAAAAACTCAATTAAAAAAAAAAGAAGGGAACAACTGGGGGAAAAAAAGACCTATTGGAAATTAAAACTATGATAGCCAAAAAATTTTTTGTGAAAGGATTGCAAGGTAATGTTGAGGAAATCTCCTAAAAGTGGATAAAACAAATAGGAAAACAGAAATATAGGAAACAGAAAAGTTAAGAAGAGTAACAATATAGGAAATCTAATTTTTGACTATAAGGAGCTGTAGAAGGAGAGAACAGAGGAAGTGGTGGTGAGAAAATTTTCAATAAATACTACAAAAGCATTTCCCTAAATCAAAAAAATATCTCCAGGGCTCACTAGGTACCAGCAGAATATGAAAAAAAGACCCAAGAACAGTCGTGATAAAAAGAAGATTCTGGGCTTCCCTGGTGGCGCAGTGGTTGAGAGGCCACCTGCCGATGCAGGGGACACGTGTTCGTGCCCCAGTCCGGGAAGATCCCACATGCCATGGAGTGGCTGGGCCCGTGAGCCATGGCCACTGAGCCTGCGCGTCTGGAGCCTGTGCTCCGCAACGGGAGAGGCCACAACAGTGAGAGGCCCGCGTACTGCAAAAAAATAAAATAAAATAAAATAAAATAAGATTCTAAAAGCTTCTGGAGAGACAAAAGGTATATATAAAGAATTAGGAATAAGAATAGTACCATATTATTTAATAGTAATACTGGAAGTTCAAGATGGATGCCTTCAAAATTCTGAGGGAAAGTAATTTTTAACCTAGAATTATGTCAAACAGAATAATGTATGAGAATGGGATAAAGATGCTTTTAGGAACATTAAGTCTCAAAAAACTTACCTCCTATGCATTCTTTCTTAGGAAGCTATCAGAGGACGTGCTCCGTCAAAATAAGGAATACAATCAAGAAAGACGATGACATGGGATCAAACACAAAAGGGAAGTAACAGGAATTTCCAGGATAACAAGTAGGTGGTAAGACTTGAGAGCATCCTAGGTCCAGATTAGCTCGATGGAGAGCTCTAGGATTTCCAGGGCGGGGGAAAATGTAACTGATGTGGAAAACTGTATTGAGAGGCATTTTACAAAGCATTAAGGCTTATGGAATGACAGCCATAGTTTTGAAGAAAAATAAGCAAATTTTACAATGAGGCATTTCATAACCCAGGAAAAACAAAACTGCTCAAGAAGAAAATGTTATCCTTGGTTCCACAGTGAACCATATTTGTGTAGTATTAATACTGAAAATACTGTAACATGGATTCAGACTAAAATCATGATATAACTGTACTGAGATGGTAGAGGGAGGAAGGAAGGTGAAAGAGCTAACATTCTCAACATCCGTAATAAGAAGCAATAGATAATGTACAAAACTGATCAAAAAAGTTATAGCAGTATATGAATATTATTTAGAAACATGGAGGTAAAGATCAGAGAAACATCTCCAAATGTTGACAGTAGCTGCCTTTGGGGAGAGGGTGGGCTCAGGAGGGGAAAAGAATTTCTGGTTTTTATTATAAGTCTTTGAACATTATTTGATTTCCTAAACTATGTATATATGTTACTTTGATAAAAACAGAAAATTAAAATGCAAACATATAAAGAAGTTATGGATAGTGTGGTATAGCAGGAAGAGTTTTGAGCTAGGAATGAAAATACAAAGCTATTGATTACTTATACTGTGATCTTGGGTAAATCATACAACTTCTTTGAGTCTCAGTTTCCTTATCTATTCATTGTGGGACTTTGGTTATTTCTAAGGGCCTTTCCAACAATAAGGTTCTGATTCCATAATAACACAGTATTTTTCTAGGAACAGCAAAGAGAGAGAAACTTTTCTCCATGTTCTCATGGTCTACCTGTACATACTTTTGTTCACTTTGCCAGGGGTCTCCCTACCATTGCCCTCTTGATGTTAAGATGGAACTAGCATGCCCCCAACCTGAGAATCCTATTGTACCTGCGAGGCTAGTCTCCGCATGGCCTCCTCCTGCCGCCTCCGCATTTCTGGAGTTCCTGGGCAGCTTCCACTGGTGATGGATGAGTGGGCTGAAGGTGGCTGTGTGAGTGGCAGCTCTCTGTTGGCATCCATATCTGTATTAAAAAGATGAGATGTTTGCATCAGATCATCATAAAACTCTAAACTAAAGAAAGACTGGTTAAATCCCATTTGTTCTTTGATCCAGCAATTCTACTCCTAGGGGTATGTACCCAAGAGAATTAAAAACATACGTCCACGCAAAAACTTGTACACAAATGTTCAAAGTAGCAAGATTCATAATAGCCCCAAAGCGGAAACAACCCAAATGTCCATCAACTGATGAATGGATAAAAGGTGGTACAGCCTTACAATCGAACATTATTCAACAATAAAAAGAAATGAAATACCAATATATGTTACAACATGGATAACCCTTGAAATGTTACACTCACTCAAAGAAGCCAGTTACAAAAGACCATATAGTATACGATTCTATTTATTTGAAATGCCCAGAATACGGAAATCCATAGGGACAAAAAGCAGATTAGTGGTTACCTAGGGGTAGAGATAGGGATTTAGGGGGGAAATTAAGACTGACTGCTAATGGGCATGGGATTTCTTTTAGGGGGGAATGAAAAAGTTCTAAGATTATGGTGATTGCTGCACAACTCAGGGACTACAGTAAAAAGCAGTGAATTGAACCATTTAAATGGGTGAATTATATGGTACGTGAATTGTAGCTTCATAAAGCTGTTTTTTAAAAAATTCCATTCGTTCATGTTATTTAGGTAACATCTTAACTACTACTAGAAATTACAGACTCTATTTATAAATACAGACCATATTTTAAAAATGGGTACAAAATAAGTAGACTGTTATTTGATGGTCAGTAACTACTGAAAAGGAGAAGAAATAGGGGAAAATAGTTCTCATTTGACTCCCTACCAGTAGGACTAACTGAGACTTCTTCCATCCAGCTGGCAAAGTAAATTCCCTGGCCACTGCACAGAGCTCTGAATAAACTGTAGGGGGGTAGGTGTGGGAGACGGCAGTGAAAAAGACTGAAGAAATGTGCGCAGTAAAGTTCAGTGACTGTCACTGTATCATGCCTGTTGTTCACTCCCTCTGTCCACCCCATTCCCCCTTATCTGGTTTTGTGGGTAATTAATATCTGAGTACCTTCTGTCTTCTAGCTGCTCCCTTTTGGAGAGGCCCTCCTCTTTGTCTGGGTGTCTTTACTTTCTGCTTGGTATTCAGAGAACAGTTGAAATAAAAGTTAACAGGAAGGAGCAGTCAGTGTGCACAGCGAAGTGGCAACACAGACTTCTGGAATGAGCAGAGTGGGGAGGGGAGGGGTTACTCACTGAACAGCTATTTGGGGGCATGGCAGCTGTTGGCAAATGTCAAATCCAAACAGTAACTACCCTGAGACTTTCAGTGATAGGAAAATACAGTCTTGTAATTAGACTGAATTTCCCTAACTACTGCACTGAGTACACTTGTAGTTAATGTAATAATGCCTGGATTACACAACAGGTCCATTTTCACAAAATGTTTCTGTTCTCTGTATGTACGTGTTGGGGGGTGGGTGGTGACGGTGGTGGTAGAGATTGATGGGGGAGTCAGGTTTGGGATGGGGTGTAGGTGGACAGCAGGATGACAGGCTACTGCCTGCCTTGACAGCTTCTCTGTGCCTTCCCAGGGAAATGACAAGGAGGGGGCGGCTGGGGGCTGGGTGTCTGTGGGGGAAGGACAGAGCCAGCCAATGCAGTGCTGCAGGCTAGACTGCTCATGTCTTCCACAGCAGCACTGCTCAGCGTGGAGGAGTGAGGGACAGAAGAAAGAATGACACAGGATGCAGAAACGGAAGTGGGGAGCTCCAATAATCTTCCATCTATTTTCATTACTACTACAACTGCATCACTGACTTAGGGTTGGGAAGGCCAGTGGGATCCCAAATACACCTATCAAAGCTGAATGTAAATTAAACTGTAAAACATTAAGCCAACTCTCTCTCGATAAGACATCATTCTTATTCACTAATAAAAAAAATTCTGCTACTGCCAGTAACATTTCCAGTGCCGGCTCATAGAGTAACAGATCAATGCCGAAAAACAGCTTGTTCTTTACCAACCACTTATTCTTTTTTTTTTTTTCTCAAAGAAATATCTTTAAATTGGTTAAGATATATTCAGTTTATATTTGTTTACAGAAATAACAAATATAAAATAGAAACAAACAGATCATTGATTTTTTTAAAAAAGTAACATTTTTGAGTGCTAATACTTGAAAAGCTTTAACCAAAACCTCGTGAGGATAATACAAGAAAGACAAAACATTTGTCCTCAAAACTAGAAGATTTAATATGAGAGCTAGTTCTAAAACAAACTGAAGTTAGATTTTATTATTAATCATTTGCATGACAGAAAATGAAAATTTTACAGATGTGTGTAGCTATTGGGATAATTTCAAGAGTTGATTTTGTTTTTCAGAGTTAATATTTAAATACTAGTAAATGACATTAACGACTTATTCTTGACCATTCTTAAGTGGTTCGGTTAAGATGGCAGAGGTGGAATGTAGTTTGGACATCAAAGCGGACAACAAAAATTATTACATCAAATTACGACAAGGCAATGCTGGTTCTGTGTAGTTCTGATAAATACATAACCACATACTCGATCCCCTTTAACACCTTTTCAAGTTTTCTAAGTTAACTATCAGGCCAAATCTATAGTCTTGACATGTGGACATTTATCACATGAATGGGGTATTTTTAGAGTTTCTCTGGAGGTAAAAGGCAACGGATGTTAGAGAATAACTTAATGAACTATCTTTAAAGGACTTCTGCTTTGGGGAGCACATGGGCTGTTTTCTATTAACTCCTGCTCTCCCAGGCTTAGAGGGGGCACTTCCAGACACCTTTGCTTTCAGAGAAAGCAGCTCTTCTTGGCTTTGAGCCACGATTCTACCATCTGTTATCTGCAACAGTGACTGATATATAGAGGAGTCAGAGAGACTATTACCTAGCTGGTTTTCTTTCTGACAGACTCAAATAGTTAACCTCTTGGATTACTCAGATAAGAAGTAGTCTGGCGTGATATTTAAGCTAAGCACTCTAACGAAAATACTGGAACAGGTATGGAAAGTTACTTTCAACCATGCACACATCCTAGAATCACAGAATTTTAGCATAGGAATGAATCTTAAAGATCACCTAATCCCACTGACTTATTTTACAGATGACAAAAACCAAGGTCTAAAGAATTAAAGTAAAATTCTCAAGGTTACAAAGTATAGAAAGTTTGAGCGCTGGAGCCAAACTATGGGCTCTTGACTCCCATGACATTATGCCAATCTACCTCAGATAAACTTCATCCAGAAACTAAGCATGATACTGCTCTTAAGACATGAATTCTTCCATACCAATTCTTACCATACCCTGGCAAATGGGACTCTTGATCCAACCAGTCTTCTTTCTAGACACTAGCTCTTCTATGTGTCAGATATCCGTAAGTTTACCAGAGGCAATCTGCCTACTTAACAACATGAAACAGGAATTCATTTCAACAGGAAGCCAGGATGTTTGGAGGGTGTTCAGTGAGTTCCTGTTGAGTTCCCACAGCACCGTGCTAGACTCTGTAACTACAATGCTATGATCCCAAACAAACCATTTCTAGTGGTTGCTGTCTGGAAATCTGTGGTGAGCTAGATTATTGATTTGGACTAGCAGGGCAAGAGTTTCTTTTTGTTTTCTTATAACTAGCAGAAGCCAGGTAGACTGGTTCGATACATATAGTGTGTATAGGAAGAACCCCTATACATTTCTTTTTATCTCCTTTACTCAAGTGAGTTCCATCAATAAGGAGAGGGAGCACAGCAAAATGGATGACACTGGCCTCTGAAACCAGACTGCTTAGGCTCAAATTCTAGTTTCGCTATTTACTGGCTATGAAACCTGGGAGGCTTACTTAACCTCTCTGAGCCTTAAACCACTTATCTGTGAAAGGAAGATAACAGGAACTACCTCTCTGAAAGAGATAAGATAAGAGGGTTGGATGAATTAATGTTTGTTAAGCTCTTAGAGAGTCCCTGGTACTAAGGACCATATAAGTATTTTAAAAACAAATAAACAGGATCCTGATGGCGATCATTAAGCTGTACCTGCCTGTGATGAAAGAAGCATAAATATATATGAGATCTCAGCATCTTTTCACACGGAAGCAGGAGAAACCCTTCAAGGACACAATGAAGTTCAAGCCCAAGCAGTGCAACACTGACATAGATCGCAAGGAAATGAAGGCCGCAAACAGACTGTGCCGGTGTGAACAGGAAGCCTGCACACAGGCTGAGCAAAAGCTGACAGTGACGGATGCAAACAAGCTCTTATAGGCAACTGCTGTAGTCATTATCCAAAGGACAGACCAGCCAGACGGTCAGGAGGGAAGAGGCATACATTTATTCTGAGAGAAACGTTTTCTCAGTCACTCTCAGGTAACTGTTGGATATGTGGGTTAAATGTCAAAAGAGTATTACATTCTTTCCCTCGACTCTGAGTTAATGGTCCTCACGTGCCAGTCAGGTTTTGCAGATCAGAAAATGAAAGGATATAAGACTTAACACAAAGATGCTGGAAAAAATTTCAGAGCAATGAAACATGGAGTTATTTAAAAAAAAATTTTTTTTTAGGGGCTTCCCTGGTGGCACAGTGGTTGAGAGTCCGCCTGCCGATGCAGGGGACACGGGTTCGTGCCCCGGTCCGGGAAGATCCCACATGCCGCGGAGCGGCTGTGCCCGTGAGCCATGGCCGCTGAGCCTGCGCGTCCGGAGCCTGTGCTCTGCAATGGGAGAGGCCACAACAGTGACGCGTACCGCAAAAAAAAAAAATAAATTTTTTTTAGTGTTTTTTTTTTTAACATCTTTATTGGAGTATAATTGCTTTACAATGGTGTGTGAGTTTCTGCTTCATAACACAGTGAATCAGCTATACATTTACATATATCCCCATATCTCCTCCCTCTTGTGTCTCCCTCCCACCCTCCCTATCCCACCACATGGATTTCTTTAAAAAGGGATACATACGTTTGGGGGAGGCATGTGGACTGTCTGAGGCGATCTGCCTCATCCGTGTTCCATGGCAGCTGAGGGCCACCAGTCTGGAGACGATGGCGGTTTTGCCGAACCCAATGTTTCCCACGATCACTACTCCTTGGTTCACACTGGCATTTGAACTTTGAAGTTGAGCATCTATTTCATGGAAAACCCAATCCCGGCCAACAAACACTGACTCTGTAGTGATGCTGGGCACTTCAAAGAGCAGCGGCTTCAGGGAGATATCTGGAGGCCTATAAGGTGCAAAGCGAACTGGAAGGAACAATAAGAGAACACAGAACTTAGGCCAAACCATCATTGAGAGAAATAAACAAAAAAACCACTATGGTTTAGGAGACCACTGGGAGTTATAGTATGATGGTATCCTGGGTTATTCAGAAAATAATAAAACTCTGAATTTTGGTTCTACACAGATAAGCAACGGCACATGAGCTAGAGCTATTTGATTCTGTAGCTGGCAGAACACAAACATAGTTAAAACAGTAATAATTTACGCTATAGGCAAGAAAGTCAGGGTGATATTCAAAATCATTAAGCAATGGAGGTGGCCCAGACACCAGCAATCAGGATGGATGCAAAAGTAACAAAATGCAGGGTTCTTAAGGCCTCCTTCTATGCCTGGGGATAACCTTCAAAATGTTGGATTGTGGGGAGATGTAGGGTTGGAGTTTCTGGGGGAGAGGTTGGGGTGTGGCAGGGAATCGGGATGGCTTACAGCATCAGTCCTGTAGAAAGCAATGTAAAGAGAACTTGTCTTTAAAAATACCAATAAAACCAGTAATTCCTTTAAGTTCACAATGGTAGTTTTAAAAAATCTAGTAAGTATATTAAGGGAAGCAAACCCCTAAAAACTGTGATGTTTTAAAAGGTTTTCAATATGTTAAGCAGTCAAGGAAGCAGAAACCAAATTTTCATTTAATGTCTCTGCACCTGTAATGCTTGTATTCATGCCAACTGAAAAAAAAAAGATTTCTGGTTTACACACACATGTCTTGGGGACAAATCCCTATTGCTTTTCTCGAGATTTTTTTCTGTGCTTATGTAGTTGTGAGATGTGCTAAGGGCCAACCAAGCATGAGTTCTACTTCCTCTCTAAAAATGCATAATAGATATAACCTGGTTTCAGTGATCAACCTTCTAATTACATTGATGGTAAAAACAAGTCCTGCCTGACCTCCCTTATCTGAGTTAAATGCCTTCATAACTCTTTCTCTTTTTTTTGGGCCACACCGCGTGGCCTGTGGGATCTTAGTTCCCCGACCAGGGAACGAACCTGGGCCCCCAGCAGTGAAAGCCTGGAATCCTAACCACTGGACCGCCAGGGAATTCCCTTTTTAACTGTTTCAAGAGTAGTTCTAGATGTATCATTTTTTTTTTCATTTTATTATTTATTTTTTTAAAGTTCATTTTCTGTATCATTTACCTTAGCACAGTACCTTGACACACAGTAGATGCTAAATAAATGCTTACTGAAAGAATTAATTAAAAACAAGGTATTACACTCTCACCCCATTTTATATTTTGAAGAATAAAGTCCACGGGTGGGAAGGGAACAAGGACAGGAGAAAGGGAAATCATAAAGGGGGAAATCAGATCTATTAGTACGGCTTATATTACTCTAGAACGTACTTAACCCACTTATACATCATTAATTGGGATCTGGAGATGGCAGCTTACTCGAAAAACACACACAAGCACACTTCATGTAAACACTCATTTAAAACTGTCTGAAAGCCATTAGAATGATAGCTGAGCATTTTCAAAAAGGTAACAATTCCAGAGCTACCCTGGTGGCGCAGTGGTTGAGAGTCCGCCTGCCGATGCAGGGGACACAGGTTCGTGCCCCGGTCCGGGAAGATCCCACATGCTGCGGAGCAGCTAGGCCCATGAGCCATGGCCGCTGAGCCTGTGCGTCCAGAGCCTGTGCTCCGCAACGGGAGAGGCCACAACAGTGAGAGGCCCGTGTACCGCAAAAAAAAAAAAAAAAAAAAAGGTAACAATTCCAAAAGTAGTACAAAAATTAAAACTATAAAGCCAAACTCTAATAATAGAAGCAAACTGTTTCCTATGTAAGCTTTAAAATGTCCCAAATTTTCACTAAAAAAAAAAAGGCTGTGGATATACACCTACACGGTTACTTATAATTTCCTGATTCACATCTCTTTATCAAAACGTACTCTTTTAAAGTACATATATAATTACAGAATTAAGTGAAAAATTAGACTTTTGCTAAAAATATTCTTAATCCTAGTGTCTTAGCTAAATAGATTCTATTTTATTTTCCTTAAACATTATTTTATTGAGCCTCACATGCCATAAAATTCACCCTTTTAAAGAATACAATTTGGTGATTTTTAGTATATTCACAAAGTTGCAAACATCACTATTTAACTCCTGAACATTTCCATCATTGCCCCCCAAAAAACCACATACCCATTAGCTGTCACTCTCTAGTCCCCGTTTCCCCCAGCCCCTGGCAACCAGAGAATTTCTGTCTTTACAGATTTGCCTATTCGAGACAGTTCACATATATATTATCATATAATATGTGGCCTTTTGTGTCTGGCTTCTTTCACTTAGCATGTTTTTCAGGTTCATCCATGTTGTAGCATGTATCATTACTTCATCCTTTTTACTGCTGAACAATATTCCATTATACGGATATATCACATTTTGTTTATCCCATTTATCAGCTGACAAAAATTTGGGTTGTTTCCACTTTTTGTCTATTATGAATCATGCTACTATGAACATTCATGTACAAGTTTCTTTTTCTTTTTTAAAATTAATGACAAAATTTTTAAAACATCTTTATTGGAGTATAAGTGCTTTACAATGGTGTGTTAGTTTCTGCTGTAAAACAAAGTGAATCAGCTATACACATACATATATCCCCATATCTCCTCCCTCTTGCGTCTCCCTCCCATCCTCTCTATCCCACCCACCTAGGTGGTCACAAAGCACCGAGCTGATCTCCCTGTGCTATGTGGCTGCTTCCCACTAGCTATCTATTTTACATTTGGTACTGTATATATGTCCATGCCACTCTCTAACACCATCCCAGCTTATCCTTCCCCCTCCCCAAATGTCCTCAAGTCCATTCTCTATGTCTGAGTGTTTATTCCTGTCCTGCCCCTAGGTTCTTCAGAACCATTTTTTTTTTTTTAGATTCCACATATATGTGTTAGCATACAATATTTGTTTTTCTCTTTTTGACTTACTTCACTCTGTAAGACAAACTCTAGGTCCTTCCACCTAACTACAAATAACTCAATTTCGTTTCTTTTTATGGCTGAGTAATATTCCATTGTATATATGTGCCACATCATCTTTATCCATTCATCTGTTGATGGACACTTAGGTTGCTTCCATGTCCTGGCTTTTGTAAATAGTGCTGCAGTGAACATTGTGGCACATGACTCTTTTTGAATTATGGTTTTCTCAGGGTATATGCCCAGTACTGGGATTGCTGGATCATATGGTAGTTCTAGTTTTAGTTTTATAAGGAACCTCCATACTGCTCTCCATAATGGCTATATTAATTTACATTCCCACCAACAGGGCAAGAGGGTTCCCTTTTTTTCACACCCTCTCCAGCATTTATTGTTTGTAGATTTTTTGATGATGGCTATTCTGACAAGTGTGAGGTGATGATACCTCATTGTAGTTTTGATTTGCATTTCTCTAATGATTAGTGATGTTGAGCATCCTTTCATGTGTTTGTTGGCAATCTGTATATCTTCTTTGGAGAGATGTCTATTTAGGTCTTCCACCCATTTTTGGACTGGGCTGTTTTTTGGATATTGAGCTGCATGAGCTGTTTGTATATTTTGGAGATCAATCCTTTGTCAGCTGCTTCATTTGCAAATACTTTCTCTGAGGGGAAAGTATTCTGAGGGTTGTCTTTTCGTTTTGTTTATGGTTTCCTTTGCTGTGCAAAAGCTTTTAAGTTTCATTAGCTCCCATTTGTTTATTTTTGTTTTTATTTCCATTTCTCTAGGAGGTGGGTCAAAAAGGATCTTGCTGCGATTTACGTCAGAGTGTTCTGCCTATGTTTTCCTCTAAGAGTTTTATAGTGTCTGACTTTACATTTAGATCTTTAGTCCATTCTGAGTTTGTTGTATACAGTGTTAGGGAGTGTTCTAATTTCATTCTTTTGCATGTAGCTGTCCAGTTTTCCCAGCATCACTTATTGAAGAGGCTGTCTTTTCTCCATTGCATATTCTTGCCTCCTGTATCAAAGATAAGGGGACCATATGTGTGTGGGTTTATCTCTGGGCTTTCTATCCTGTTCCATTGATCTATATTTCTGTTTTTGTGCCAGTACCATACTGTCTTGCTGACTGTAGCTTTGTAGTATAGTCTGAAGTCAGGGAGCCTGATTCCTCCACCTCCATTTTTCTTTCTCAAGATTGCTTTGGCTATTCGGGGTCTTTTGTGTTTCCATATAAATTGTGAATTTTTTTGTTCTAGTTCTGTGAAAAATGGCATTGGTAGTTTGATAGGGATTGTACTGAATCTGTAGATTGCTTTGGGTAGTAGAGTCATTTTCACAGTGTTGATTCTTCCAATTCAAGAACATGGTATATCTCACCATCTGTTTCTATTATCTTTAACTTCTTTCATCAGTGTCTTATAGTTTTCTGCATACAGGTCTTTTGTCTCCTTAGGTAGGATTATTCCTAGGTATTTTATTCTTCTTGTTGCAATAGTAAATGGGAGTGTTTCCTTAATTTCTCTTTCAGATTTTTCATCATTAGTGTATAGGAATGCCAGAGATTTCTGTACATTAATTTTGTATCCTGCTACTGTACCAAATTCATTGATTAGCTCTAGTAGTTTTCTGGTGGCATCTTTAGGATTCCCTATGTATAGTATCATGTCATCTGCAAAGAGTGACAGTTTTACTTCTTCTTTTCCAATTTGGATTCCTTTAATTTCTTTTATGTCTCCGATTGCTGTGGCTAAAACTTCTAAAACTATGCTGAATAGCAGTGGTGAGAGTGGGCACCCTTGTCTTGTTCCTGATCTTAGTGGAAATGGTTTCAGTTTTTCACCATTGAGGATGATGTTGGCTATGGGTTTGTCATATATGGCCTTTATTATGTTGAGGTAAGTTCCCTCTAGGCCTACTTTCTGGAGGGTTTTTATCATAAATGGGTGTTGAATTTTGTCGAAAGCTTTTTCTGCATCTATTCAGATGATCATATGGTTTTCATCCTTCAATTTGTTATTATGGTGTATCACATTGA